TCCTCCTCCTCCTCAGTCATCCTCCTCAGTCCTTCTCCTCCTCAGTCCTTCTCCTCTTCCTCCTCCTCCTCAGTCTTCCTCATATTCCTCAGTCCTCCCCCAGTCACCCTCCTCCTCAGTCCTCCCCCAGTCACCCTCCTCCTCATCCTCATCCTCCTCATCAGTCCTCCTTCGCCTTCTCAGTCCTCCTCTTCAGTCCTCCTCCTCCTTTTCCTGGTTCCTCCTCCTCAGTCCGCATTCTCCTCCTCAGTCCTTCTCAGTCCTTTCCCCAGTCACCCTCCTCCTCATCCTCCTCATCAGTCCTCCTTCTCCTTAGTCCTCCTCCTCGGTTCTCCTTCTCAGTCTCACTCCTCCTTCTCAGTCCTCCTCCTCCTCTTCTTCCTGGTTCCTCCTCTTGGGTCCTCCTTCTCCTCCTCAGTCCTCCTCCTCTTCCTCCTCTTCCTGGGTCCTCCTTCTCCTCCTCAGTCTTCTTCCTCCTTCTACTCCTCAGTCCTCCTCCTGCTCAATCCTCCTCTTCCTCCTAAGTCCTCCCCTCCTCAGTCCTCCTAAGTCCTCCCCTTCTCAGTCCTCCTCCTCATCAGTCCTCTTCACCAGTCCTCCTCCTCAGTCCTCCTTATCCTCATCCTTTATCTCCTTTCTCCTCCTCATCCTCCTCATACACCTCCTTCTCCTCATCAGTCCTCCTCCTCACTCCTCAGTCCTTCTCCTCCTCCTCCTCCTCCTCGTCCTTAGTCCTCTTTATCAGTCCTCATCAGTCCTCATCGGTCCTCCTCCTCCCCAGTCCTCCTCATGGGGCCTTTTCCTGGGTCCTCCTCCTCTTGAGTCCTTCTTCTCCTCCTCCTATTCATTCCTCCTCCTCAGTTCTCCTTCTCAGTCTCACTCCTCCTCAGCCCCCCTCCTCTCCCTCCTCAGTCCACCTCCTCAGTCCCCCCTCCTCCTTTTCCTCTCTTTCATCTCTCAATAATTTGTTCAATTTATAATTATTGTTGGTGTTATTGTTAACATAATTTATTGTTATATACTAAAATGTTTTTAAGCGCATTTGAGTCTGACTCAAAATGTGCTCAAGAATCTTTGTGTTTAACAAAGTTTTACTCTCCAGTAATAAAACTTTTCATCCCTTTTTATGTTATTAAAAAATGTGTAGACTATTCTTTGTGCCTAATTGAAGATTAAAAGTTTGAGAAAGGACCATGGTCATTAACCGGGCTACCCATTTCTGCAGATAGCCTGTTACAAATTGTGGAGAAAATTTAAATCAAAAGTTACAATTTTTGTCCGTTTTTGTCCGTTTTTGTCCGTTTTTGTCCGTTTGGCAGCTATATTTTCAAAACGGACAAAAATTAACGGACAAAAACGGACAAAAACGGACAAAAAATAACATGATCCCCCCCCCTAATTTTCAATTTCGCATATAAAGTCATACTTTATAGTATAAAGTTGGACTTTATAATATGCGAAATTGAAAAAAAATAATAATAATGGAAAAATCAAATAAATGGAATGAAAAATGGTCTCGAAAAGTCAAAAAATTCGACTAAAATTGTTGTAGACTAAAAATTTGCGAAATATGTGCCCAAAATTATGGTAATAAAATTTATAGTAACAAAATTTATTGTGACCCAAATTTTTTAGCCCTAAGGTAATCAAGTAACACAACTCAATATACCTTACGAAGCACAGAGAGCACAAAGAGAAATGACAGAAAAGTTACACTCACTAATTCCAACATGGTATTACATAATTCACATAACAAAAACAGTCAAGTTGTGTTAGAGGGCAAATTGAGTGACTTCTTTGGAAAATGGTTCGTTGATAAATGGTAAGGTGCATGTCACGTGGTTGGTATCTTGTATGTGCGATGATGATGGGTTGTGTCGTGTTGTAGGTGAGAGAGGGTGAAGTCTTCCTGTTTGGTTTATACGTCATGGGTGTTGGTAACTGTTGTTGAACAACAAGTTGTCTACTATCTTCATGGACTCTTCTTTATACTCTGGTGGTGATGAGCAATAAGCAGCCGTTTTTTAGAAGTTCTTGATAGTTGATGGTGGCTACTTTTGTTCCCTCATTGTGGTGGCTGTTAGCGCTAAGTGTGATCTTGGAAATGCTTTTTTCTACTTCTTGTGGTGTAGTGTTCCCTGCTCGTCGATCTTTATCTATTCCTTAATGAACGAGAGAGAATAAGAATAAAATTTATACAGCAATACAATAAGAATATTTCATTTTGTATAATGTATAATGTATTTAAATGTGTAATGTATTTAAATGTATAATGTATTTAAATGTATAATGTATTCAAATGTAAAATGTATTTAAATGTGTAATGTATTTAAATGTATAATGTATGTAAATGTATATAGTCCAGTCATTTAAGGACAGCTGCCTGCAAATCTTCAGATACTCACGAAACTTTGCACAGACCTTCTCAAAGGTATGAATAAACAATTTTCGGTTGGAGACATTTTTTTTACCGTGGGGAAAACCCAGGAGGGCCACGCCCATGTTGTCCCAATAACGTAACTGACCCCTTGCTTCTGAAGGTCGTAGAGACTTCAAAATAGGCTTAAACGAAGCCGCATATGCATGTTTATATAAGAGTTATTGATCAACACATGGCCTAAAATCCTTACTTTTCGAGAAATTCGCCAAAAACCATTTTGGGCGTGGCGCTGAGTCCATTTTACTTACTTTTGATAGGATTGTGATAGAGTCTTTGGGTAGAGTGCAAAAGAACCGCAATTGGCATATTTATATATGACTTACGAAGAAACATATGCCTTAAAGTGCTTACTTTTCGAGTTATTAACATAGAACGGGAGGCAAAAATGGCTGATATAACCAATTTTGCTCTATTTTGTGCAAATTTTCTCTGTTTTTCCCCAAATAACTCGAAAAGTAAGCATTTTAGGGTGCATGTTGCTTCATAAGTTGTATATAAACATGGCCATTCTGCACAATTTGCACTCATTCAAAAATCTCTAAGGCCTTCATAGCTTAATGTACCACATACCCATATTTTTGCATGATTTCTGGAACCGAAAATCAGTTTTTCGCCAATAACTGAAAAAGTAAGCACTTTAAGGCATATGTTTCTTCGTAAGTCATATATAAATATGCCAATTGCGGTTCTTTTGCACTCTATCCAAAGACTCTATCACAATCCTATCAAAGTTAGTAAAATCGGCTCAGCGCCACGCCCAAAATGGTTTTTGGCGAATTTCTCGAAAAGTAAGGATTTTAGGCAATGTGTTGATCAATAACTCTTATATAAACATGCATATGCGGCTTCGTTTAAGCCTATTTTGAAGTCTCTACGACCTTCAGAAGCAAGGGGTCAGTTGCGTTATTGGGTCAATATGGGCGTGGCCCTCCTGGGTTTTCCCCACGGTAAAAAAAATGTCTCCAACCGAAAATTGTTTATTCATACCTTTGGGAAGGTCTGTGCAAAGTTTCGTGAGTATCTGAAAATTTGCAGGTTCATGTCCATAAATGTCCATAAATGATTGGACTAATAATGTATTTAAATGTATAATGTATTTAAATGTATAATGTTTTTAAATGTATAATGTATTTAAATGTGTAATGTATTTAAATGTGTAATGTATTTAAATGTGTAATGTATTTAAATGTGTAATGTACTTAAATGTATAATGTATTTAAATGTATAATGTATTTAAATGTGTTATGTATTTAAATGTATAATGTATTTAAATGTGTAATGTATTTAAATGTGTAATCATGTATTTAAATGTATAATGTATTTAAATGTATAATGTATTTAAATGTATAATGTATTTAAATGTGTAATGTATTTAAATGTATAATTTATTTAAATGTATAATGTATTTAAATGTGTAATGTATTTAAATGTACAATTTATTTAAATGTGTAATGTATTTAAATGTGTTATGTACTTAAATGTATAATGTATTTAAATGTATAATTATTTAAATGTGTTATGTATTTAAATGTATAATGTATTTAAATGTGTAATGTATTTAAATGTGTAATCATGTATTTAAATGTATAATGTATTTAAATGTATAATGTATTTAAATGTATAATGTATTTAAATGTGTAATGTATTTAAATGTATAATTTATTTAAATGTATAATGTATTTAAATGTGTAATGTATTTAAATGTGTAATGTATTTAAATGTATAATTTATTTAAATGTGTAATGTATTTAAATGTGTAATGTATTTAAATGTATAATGTATTTAAATGTATAATGTATTTAAATGTATAATGTATTTAAATGTGTAATGTATTTAAATGTGTAATCATGTATTTAAATGTATAATGTATTTAAATGTATAATGTATTTAAATGTATAATGTATTTAAATGTGTAATGTATTTAAATGTATAATGTATTTAAATGTGTAATGTATTTAAATGTGTAATCATGTATTTAAATGTATAATGTATTTAAATGTATAATGTATTTAAATGTATAATGTATTTAAATGTGTAATGTATTTAAATGTATAATTTATTTAAATGTTCAATGTATTTAAATGTGTAATGTATTTAAATGTATAATGTATTTAAATGTGTAATGTATTTAAATGTATAATGTATTTAAATGTATATAATGTATAATGTATTTAAATGTGTAATGTATTTAAATTTATAATGTATTTAAATGTATAATGTATTTAAATGTATAATGTATTTAAATGTATAATGTATTTAAATGTATAATGTATTTAAATGTGTAATGTATTTAAATGTGTAATGTATTTAAATGTATAATGTATTTAAATGTATAATGTATTTAAATGTATAATGTATTTAAATGTATAATGTATTTAAATGTATAATGTATTTAAATGTATAATGTATTTAAATGTATAATGTATTTAAATGTATAATGTATTTAAATGTATAATGTATTTAAATGTATACTGTATTTAAATGTATAATGTATTTAAATGTATAATGTATTTAAATGTATAATGTATTTAAAAGTGTATAAAGTATAACTCCCCCGCAGAGTGTAGCTGGAGGGCAGACACCAGTCTAGCCACGCTGTGCAGTAACGGCACCTGTAAACGTATTGACTACATTTTCTTCAACTCGACTAAGCTCTCCTGTACAGACTCTTCAGTAGTGATGGGTAAAATACCCGGCCAGACTTTCTCTTACTCTGACCACTTGGGAGTGTCCAGTACATTTGTATTGAAACCCCCCTCCACTGCAGTTCGTGTGTGTAAACTATCTAAAAGTACTGCGGAGGGAGCACTGGAGTGTATACACAGAAGCTTAGCCGCTACCCATGTAGATAGCACACAGAAGGTAGTGTTGTGGTTGTGTTTAACAGTGGTGTGGTGTGTGGTGGTAGTGGCAGCTGTACTGGAGCTGTTACCTGCTGTAGTACTGGTACTTGTGGGGAGCATCCTCGCTGCAGCTGCTACTGCTGTCTTCTGGTATCTTGTTATCTTCTGTAGGTCTGAGAGTTCTAAATTCTCTGAAGCTTTCGATGAGATGCAGATACTCACTAGGTTTGCTGAGTAGTTAACAGTTAATTATATGAAGCCCCCCCCCTCCTGTTACCATGGTTACAGCCTCCCCCATCTACTAATACACCCTGTATATTAGGTGATGCATCACCTAATATACAGGGTGTATTGTACTTACTACTTTTAAAACAGCAGTACTTTTGTTTTAAGGGGGTTCACCATGATTTTCTTGTGAAATTTTATTTCGAGATAGGGGACCACTAGCTACAAGTAGAGCACCTAAAATCTGGGTTTTGAGCATGTTAAGACTTAAGATGATTTGGCATAATTGGGCATAATTTGGACCAAAAATGGGCGTGGCTCACCCAGAGTCCAGAACCCCTCAAAAGTTGGGTCACATGCCCTAGTTTGTTGGTAACTTAAATTTCACAAGAAAATCAGGGTGAACTTAAGTAGTTACAACTTATTGTATATTAGTATATGTTACTTTAGTTAAGTTTTCTGAATTTACTAAGTTTTTGAGATAAATTGTATTTCGGAAGGATTTTGATCTTCAGGGATTTATTGCAGACTGGGTAGTTGATTTATTTAAGAAGATTGGTTTGAGTAAGTAAGTACTTGTGAGTAAGGTTCCATTACAGATATTTGATATAGTTTACAGTTTCACAGTAACTATTGTTTAGTCAAAATGTATAGCTCAACATTCTTTTCTTCTTTATAATACATAACTGAAAAATTCTGATTGTACAGTGATATTATGGTTTATATTGAAATGAAGTTTTGCACTTTTTAAAGAGTTTGTTATTCTGGTAATCTTGTTTTGCTCTTATGAGTGGGTCAATCATTTATTTTTAATTGTAGTTGACGAAATGAGAGTCTCCACTCAGTGTGTTAAAACATAATTCTTTGTCGACGTTTCGGCTACATGCCTTTGTCATAAACAGGAGGTACTGAAAACATAGCTGCAAAGATACAATGTTAAAATAATCTATTAATACTACGAAATATAACAACAAAAAAATAACATCTTGAAACACAACAACAATCACAAATTTATCCAAAAGAAACATAAAATATAATGGCTAAAAGAATCCACACCGCAACAAACCGTGAACAATTCCTCATAGTACTACAAACATTTTACCAAGATAGCTCCTTCATAAAACTGATTAATCAAAAATTATCTAGGTTTATAAGTTCAATATTACATTAAATTCCAAGTATATTTTATCCAATCACCTTCATTTACGGACTCAGACAATTGAGTATTTATTTCTGGGTTTTCACGTTTTATTAGAACCGACTGCCACAATTGACGGTCCACATAGTCTTTACATCTTTTTCGAACTATAAACCGAAACGGTATGTTTGGCATTGAAATGTCTGCATGCTCCTCTAGGTAGTGCTTCCCCATGGCCGTAGATTTGTTGCCATCCCTTACTGATTTGTAGTGTTCCCAGGCTCTACTTCTTTTAAACCTACCAGTTTCCCCAATGTAGGACTTATTACATATTTGGCATATTAATTGCGGTGTGGATTCTTTTAGCCATTATATTTTATGTTTCTTTTGGATAAATTTGTGATTGTTGTTGTGTTTCAAGATGTTATTTTTTTGTTGTTATATTTCGTAGTATTAATAGATTATTTTAACATTGTATCTTTGCAGCTATGTTTTCAGTACCTCCTGTTTATGACAAAGGCATGTAGCCGAAACGTCGACAAAGAATTATGTTTTAACACACTGAGTGGAGACTCTCATTTCGTCAACTACAATTAAAAATAGTTTGTTATTCTGTAATTACTTAAAATTAACACTGCAAAATTTCAGAACTTTAGTAAGTTAAGTCTCGCAGTTTAGAGATGTCTGGCTCTACTCTAGTAGCAGGGAGTACTGGCTTACTAGTTGAAATTACTGACTACTGTTATAATATAATGAATCTATTGATTGTCAAAATATTTTGCAATAAGTCAGATTATATATTTTAATTAAGTTCTGTCATGTTATACATTACTATTAATATAACTACTGCTATTAAATTTATCAGATAAAATTAGGATCGAACTATTGTTTCCCTAATACTCACGTTATCTAACATATAGCTTATGATAGCAAAGTACGGCACATGTCTATAAAGCCCGATGATTTGGAATGCGACTTTTTAAAATATCCCATTCAGTCTCAAGGTATGTAATATTTCAAATTATTAGTTTACTCTCGAAACAAGCTAGTCTGAGGTTTCTGTTAAAAATGTTAATTTAATTACTGTTTTAATTAATTACTGTTTAATTACTGTTTTAATTAATGGTTAAAATCACTCAAGTATTTGGATTAACTTTGCAGGCGAGTTTACATACGAAGAAAATAAAGACTACACAAAGTTTACACAGCACAGTATACACTATGACAACAGTAACCATGGCAACAGTAACCATGGCAACAGTAACCATGTCGACAAAACCTCTCACCACACAACATATTCCCATTTAACTTGCTCAGACGACAGTGTAACCTCAGATAAGAGGAGTATTACAGATAGTCCTACAATAGTTTCAGACAATAACAGTTCTGAGATCTCAGATAATTCCAGTTCTACAGTGTTCCGAGCTGAGAATTCAAAACAATTATCACAGAGGAAACAGTTAACAGCTGAAGAAAGAAGAGAAAAACACAGAGTAGATCAGCAAGAGCGGCGAATAAACGAGCTGCCCTGGGAGAAAACACAGCGGCTCCAGCGCAGCGCAGAGCGTCAGCGCTTAAAGCGCATGAACCTGTCAGAGGTGGAGAAGAAGCACGCAAAGGAGGTAGCAAAGAAGAGAACTAAAGAGAGAAGGAGTAGAGAGACTGAGGATGAGAGGGAGATAAGGAGAATAAGAGACAGGATAAGGATGAGAGAGAAAAGAGCACTAATAAAGCAAGTGAGAGTGTTAGGCGCTGAGGTGGTCGCGCAGACATGCGTGCGGTTACTCAATCCTCCAACTAGCGCGCCGCAGATCAATCAGAATATTGCTCTACCACTGTTAAACTCAACAACTGGAGTGGTCGATCTATCAAACATAATTCTTAATCCAGACACATTCCCCCCTCACTGTAACGGTATATTAGCTCAGTCTTCAGACACGTTCCCCCCTCACTGTAACGGTACTGTACTAGGAGGTAGTAACGGTACTATATTAGCTCAGTCCTCTGTCTATTCAACTGAAGAAGGAGGAGATATGAGTGATAACGAGGAGACTAAGGAGGAGCTACTAGGAGGAAGTAATATTTCTAACTGTGATTCAGATAGCTCCCACGTCTCAACCACCGCTCTCTTCTCTGTAGCTAAAGATTACCTCTCATCTGAGCATGAAAAATATTTAAAGCAAAAAGAGAGACAGAGAGTGAGATGTAAGGAGAGGAGAGCTAAAGAGGGGCCTGAAGAGCGCGCGGTGAGACTGCGCAAGGCTGCACAGCGCCAGAGACAGAAGCGCTTGTCCCTGACAGAGGAGGAGAAGTTGTTGTACAATGAAGTAAACAGAGTGCGCGCTAAGCAGAGGAGGAGTCAGGAGTCCCCTCAGCAGCAGGAGAGGAGGCGCACTTCAGAACGCGTGCGGAGGAGGGAGCAGCGCGCGCTGTCACGCCAGTTACAGGACTGTGGGGAGGGACCTCCTACTTTTATTACTAGTCATTCAGAGGGACCAGACTTTACTAACTTTTCATTGGATCTCAGTTAATTTTATCATTTTGTATTGCTTCAATCCTACTATATATTAAATACAATAAATTAAACAAAATACTATAAACTGAACAAATTTCAGAAAATTTTCTAGAGAAATATTTCCCACTGACTCCTAACTGCAACTTAACGTTATATCATGTTAGTTAGTTAGTTAGTTAGTTAGTTAGTTAGTTAGTTAGTTAGTTAGTTAATTAATTAGTTAGTTAGTTAGTTAGTTAGTTAGTTAGTTAGTTAGTTAGTTAGTTAGCTAGTTAGTTAGTTAGTTAGTTAGTTAGTTAGTTAGTTAGTTAGTTAGTTAGTTAGTTAGATAGTTAATTAGTTAGTAAGTTAGTTAGTTAGTTAGCTAGTTAGTTAGTTAGTTAGTTAGTTAGTTAGTTAGCTAGTTAGTTAGTTAGTTAGTTAGTTAGCTAGTTAGTTAGTTAGTTAGTTAGTTAGTTAGTTAGTTAGTTAGTCAATTAGTTAGTTAGTTAGTTAGTTAGCTAGTTAGCTAGTTAGCTAGTTAGTTAGTTAGTTAGTTAGTTAGTTAGTTAGTTAGTTAGTGGTGTTTACATGATAATAATGTATCCAGAGAGGTAAAGTATTGTTTGAAAGTATTCAGACAGTAAAAGAGATAATATTGTATTTTTCGTTTCTAAATTTGATTGTGTTATTTTTACATCCATTTACCTATTTCGTCGGAAAGAATATTAACTTGTGTTTTACTTGTTTACTTTGATCTTCTCAACGATTCAACTTCATCTTCAGCTAATTGACTCAATTAGGAATTGACTAAGAAAGTAATTATTTTGAATGATTTGGAACAAGTCAAGAGTGTTTTAAACTCACATACTTAAAAACATATTATGTAACAATACATATTATAAGGGGTCGTTCACATACTATGTAATCAATTTTTGGACAATGTCCCTCTCCCCTCCGTTATCACTTTTACACATAGCTATTGTGTCATAATTACACTAGCGTAATCATTTGGAAACCCCCGACCCCCCCCCCTCCCCCTCGGCTGATTACGTAATATGTGAACGCATCCTGACTAATATCTGAATAGGATGCAAGTTGGAACAACCACTGTTGAGAGCAACCCTAATGCTAGCTACCTGGACAGCAGGTTACTAACTTTATTAACTAATGCTAGCTACCTGGATAGCAGGTTACTAACTTTATTAACTAATGCTAGCTACCTGGATAGCAGGTTACTAACTTTATTAACTAATGCTAGCTACCTGGATAGCAGGTTACTAATTTTATTAACTAATGCTACGGACAGCAGGTTACTAACTTTATTAACTAATGCTAGCTACCTGGATAGCAGGTTACTAACTTTATTAACTAATGCTAGCTACCTGGATAGCAGGTTACTAACTTTATTAACTAATGCTAGCTACCTGGATAGCAGGTTACTAACTTTATTAACTAATGCTAGCTACCTGGATAGCAGGTTACTAACTTTATTAACTAATGCTAGCTACCTGGATAGCAGGTTACTAACTTTATTAACTAATGCTAGCTACCTGGATAGCAGGTTACTAACTTTATTAACTAATGCTAGCTACCTGGATAGCAGGTTACTAACTTTATTAACTAATGCTAGCTACCTGGATAGCAGGTTACTAATTTATTAACTAATGCTACGGACAGCAGGTTACTAACTTTATTAACTAATGCTAGCTACCTGGATAGCAGGTTACTAACTTTATTAACTAATGCTAGCTACCTGGATAGCAGGTTACTAACTTTATTAACTAATGCTAGCTACCTGGATAGCAGGTTACTAACTTTATTAACTAATGCTACGGACAGCAGGTTACTAACTTTATTAACTAATGCTAGCTACCTGGATAGCAGGTTACTAACTTTATTAACTAATGCTAGCTACCTGGATAGCAGGTTACTAACTTTATTAACTAATGCTAGCTACCTGGATAGCAGGTTACTAACTTTATTAACTAATGCTAGCTACCTGGACAGCAGGTTACTAACTTTATTAACTAATGCTAGCTACCTGGATAGCAGGTTACTAACTTTATTAACTAATGCTAGCTACCTGGATAGCAGGTTACTAACTTTATTAACTAATGCTAGCTACCTGGATAGCAGGTTACTAACTTTATTAACTAATGCTAGCTACCTGGATAGCAGGTTACTAACTTTATTAACTAATGCTAGCTACCTGGATAGCAGGTTACTAACTTTATTAACTAATGCTAGCTACCTGGATAGCAGGTTACTAACTTTATTAACTAATGCTAGCTACCTGGATAGCAGGTTACTAACTTTATTAACTAATGCTAGCTACCTGGATAGCGGGTTACTAACTTTATTAACTAATGCTAGCTACCTGGATAGCAGGTTACTAACTTTATTAACTAATGCTAGCTACCTGGATAGCAGGTTACTAACTTTATTAACTAATGCTAGCTACCTGGATAGCAGGTTACTAACTTTATTAACTAATGCTAGCTACCTGGATAGCAGGTTACTAACTTTATTAACTAATGCTAGCTACCTGGATAGCAGGTTACTAACTTTATTAACTAATGCTAGCTACCTGGACAGCAGGTTACTAACTTTATTAACTAATGCTAGCTACCTGGATAGCAGGTTACTAACTTTATTAACTAATGCTAGCTACCTGGATAGCGGGTTACTAACTTTATTAACTAATGCTAGCTACCTGGATAGCAGGTTACTAACTTTATTAACTAATGCTAGCTACCTGGATAGCAGGTTACTAACTTTATTAACTAATGCTAGCTACCTGGATAGCAGGTTACTAACTTTATTAACTAATGCTAGCTACCTGGATAGCAGGTTACTAACTTTATTAACTAATGCTAGCTACCTGGATAGCAGGTTACTAACTTTATTAACTAATGCTAGCTACCTGGACAGCAGGTTACTAACTTTATCAACTAATGCTAGCTACCTGGATAGCAGGTTACTAACTTTATTAACTAATGCTAGCTACCTGGATAGCAGGTTACTAACTTTATTAAATAATGCTAGCTACCTGGACAGCAGGTTACTAACTTTATTAACTAATGCTAGCTACCTGGATAGCAGGTTACTAACTTTATTAACTAATGCTAGCTACCTGGATAGCAGGTTACTAACTTTATTAACTAATGCTAGCTACCTGGATAGCAGGTTACTAACTTTATTAGCTAATGCTAGCTACCTGGACAGCAGGTTACTAACTTTATTAACTAATGCTAGCTACCTGGATAGCAGGTCACTAACTTTATTAACTAATGCTAGCTACCTGGATAGCAGGTTACTAACTTTATTAACTAATGCTAGCTACCTGGACAGCAGGTTACTAACTTTATTAACTAATGCTAGCTACCTGGATAGCAGGTTACTAACTTTATTAACTAATGCTAGCTACCTGGATAGCAGGTTACTAACTTTATTAACTAATGCTAGCTACCTGGATAGCAGGTTACTAACTTTATTAACTAATGCTAGCTACCTGGATAGCAGGTTACTAACTTTATTAACTAATGCTAGCTACCTGGACAGCAGGTTACTAACTTTATTAACTAATGCTAGCTACCTGGATAGCAGGTTACTAACTTTATTAACTAATGCTAGCTACCTGGACAGCAGGTTACTAACTTTATTAACTAATGCTAGCTACCTGGATAGCAGGTTACTAACTTTATTAACTAATGCTAGCTACCTGGACAGCAGGTTACTAACTTTATTAACTAATGCTAGCTACCTGGATAGCAGGTTACTAACTTTATTAACTAATGCTAGCTACCTGGATAGCAGGTTACTAACTTTATTAACTAATGCTAGCTACCTGGATAGCAGGTTACTAACTTTATTAACTAATGCTAGCTACCTGGATAGCAGGTTACTAACTTTATTAACTAATGCTAGCTACCTGGATAGCAGGTTACTAACTTTATTAACTAATGCTAGCTACCTGGATAGCAGGTTACTAACTTTATTAACTAATGCTAGCTACCTGGATAGCAGGTTACTAACTTTATTAACTAATGCTAGCTACCTGGATAGCAGGTTACTAACTTTATTAACTAATGCTAGCTACCTGGATAGCAGGTTACTAACTTTATTAACTAATGCTAGCTACCTGGATAGCAGGTTACTAACTTTATTAACTAATGCTAGCTACCTGGATAGCAGGTTACTAACTTTATTAACTAATGCTAGCTACCTGGATAGCAGGTTACTAACTTTATTAACTAATGCTAGCTACCTGGATAGCAGGTTACTAACTTTATTAACTAATGCTAGCTACCTGGATAGCAGGTTACTAACTTTATTAACTAATGCTAGCTACCTGGATAGCAGGTTACTAACTTTATTAACTAATGCTAGCTACCTGGATAGCAGGTTACTAACTTTATTAACTAATGCTAGCTACCTGGATAGCAGGTTACTAACTTTATTAACTAATGCTAGCTACCTGGACAGCAGGTTACTAACTTTATTAACTAATGCTAGCTACCTGGATAGCAGGTTACTAACTTTATTAACTAATGCTAGCTACCTGGACAGCAGGTTACTAACTTTATTAACTAATGCTAGCTACCTGGATAGCAGGTTACTAACTTTATTAACTAATGCTAGCTACCTGGATAGCAGGTTACTAACTTTATTAACTAATGCTAGCTACCTGGATAGCAGGTTACTAACTTTATTAACTAATGCTAGCTACCTGGATAGCAGGTTACTAACTTTATTAACTAATGCTAGCTACCTGGATAGCAGGTTACTAACTTTATTAACTAATGCTAGCTACCTGGATAGCAGGTTACTAACTTTATTAACTAATGCTAGCTACCTGGATAGCAGGTTACTAACTTTATTAACTAATGCTAGCTACCTGGACAGCAGGTTACTAACTTTATTAACTAATGCTAGCTACCTGGATAGCAGGTTACTAACTTTATTAACTAATGCTAGCTACCTGGACAGCAGGTTACTAACTTTATTAACTAATGCTAGCTACCTGGATAGCAGGTTACTAACTTTATTAACTAATGCTAGCTACCTGGATAGCAGGTTACTAACTTTATTAACTAATGCTAGCTACCTGGATAGCAGGTTACTAACTTTATTAACTAATGCTAGCTACCTGGATAGCAGGTTACTAACTTTATTAACTAATGCTAGCTACCTGGATAGCAGGTTACTAACTTTATTAACTAATGCTAGCTACCTGGATAGCAGGTTACTAACTTTATTAACTAATGCTAGCTACCTGGATAGCAGGTTACTAACTTTATTAACTAATGCTAGCTACCTGGATAGCAGGTTACTAACTTTATTAACTAATGCTAGCTACCTGGATAGCAGGTTACTAACTTTATTAACTAATGCTAGCTACCTGGATAGCAGGTTACTAACTTTATTAACTAATGCTAGCTACCTGGATAGCAGGTTACTAACTTTATTAACTAATGCTAGCTACCTGGATAGCAGGTTACTAACTTTATTAACTAATGCTAGCTACCTGGATAGCAGGTTACTAACTTTATTAACTAATGCTAGCTACCTGGATAGCAGGTTACTAACTTTATTAAATAATGCTAGCTACCTGGATAGCAGGTTACTAACTTTATTAACTAATGCTAGCTACCTGGATAGCAGGTTACTAACTTTATCAGCTAATGCTAGCTACCTGGATAGCAGGTTACTAACTTTATTAACTAATGCTAGCTACCTGGATAGCAGGTTACTAACTTTATTAACTAATGCTAGCTACCTGGATAGCAGGTTAATAACTTTATTAACTAATGCTAGCTACCTGGATAGCAGGTTACTAACTTTATTAGCTAATGCTAGCTACCTGAATAGCAGGTTACTAACTTTATTAACTAATGCTAGCTACCTGGATAGCAGGTTACTAACTTTATTAACTAATGCTAGCTACCTGGATAGCAGGTTACTTACTTTATTAGCTAATGCTAGCTACCTGGATAGCAGGTTACTAACTTTATTAACTAATGCTAGCTACCTGGACAGCAGGTTACTAACTTTATCAGCTAATGCTAGCTACCTGGACAGCAGGTTACTAACTTTATTAACTAATGCTAGTTACCTGGACAGCAGGTTACTAACTTTATTAACTAATGCTAGCTACCTGGATAGCAGGTTACTAACTTTATTAGCTAATGCTAGCTACCTGGATAGCAGGTTACTAACTTTATTAGCTAATGCTAGCTACCTGGATAGCAGGTTACTAACTTTATTAACTAATGCTAACTACCTGGATAGCAGGTTACTAACTTTATTAACTAATGCTGGCTACCTGGATATCAGGTTCCTAACTTTATTAACTAATGCTAGCTACCTGGATAGCAGGTTACTAACTTTATTAACTAATGCTAGCTACCTGGACAGCAGGTTACTAACTTTATTAACTAATGCTAACTACCTGGATAGCAGGTTACTAACTTTATTAACTAATGCTAGCTACCTGGATAGCAGGTTACTAACTTTATTAACTAATGCTAGCTACCTGGATAGCAGGTTACTAACTTTATTAACTAATGCTAGCTACCTGGATAGCAGGTTACTAACTTTATTAACTAATGCTAGCTACCTGGATAGAAGGTTACTAACTTTATTAACTAATGCTAGCTACCTGGATAGCAGGTTACTAATTTTATTAACTAATGCTAGCTACCTGGATAGCAGGTTACTAACTTTATTAACTAATGCTAGCTACCTGGATAGCAGGTTACTAACTTTATTAACTAATGCTAGCTTCCTGGATAGCAGGTTACTAACTTTATTAACTTATGCTAGCTACCTGGATAGCAGGTTACTAACTTTATTAACTAATGCTAGCTACCTGGATAGCAGGTTACTTACTTTATTAGCTAATGCTAGCTACCTGGATAGCAGGTTACTAACTTTATTAACTAATGCTAGCTACCTGGATAGCAGGTTACTAACTTTATTAACTAATGCTAGCTACCTGGATAGCAGGTTACTAACTTTATTAACTAATGCTAGCTACCTGGATAGCAGGTTACTAACTTTATTAACTAATGCTAGCTACCTGGATAGCAGGTTACTAACTTTATTAAATAATGCTAGCTACCTGGATAGCAGGTTACTAACTTTATTAACTAATGCTAGCTACCTAGATAGCAGGTTACTAACTTTATTAACTAATGCTAGCTACCTAGATAGCAGGTTACTAACTTTATTAACTAATGCTAGCTACCTGGACAGCAGGTTACTAACTTTATTAACTAATGCTAGCTACTTGGACAGCAGGTTACTAACTTTATTAACTAATGCTAGCTACCTGGATAGCAGGTTACTAACTTTATTAACTAATGCTAGCTACCTGGACAGCAGGTTACTAACTTTATTAACTACTGCTAGCTACCTGGATAGCAGGTTACTAACTTTATTAACTAATGTTAGCTACCTGGATAGCAGGTTACTAACTTTATTAACTAATGCTAGCTACCTGGATAGCAGGTTACTAACTTTATTAACTAATGCTAGCTACCTAGATAGCAGGTTACTAACTTTATTAACCAATGCTAGCTACCTGGATAGCAGGTTACTAACTTTATTAACTAATGCTAGCTACCTGGATAGCAGGTTACTAACTTTATTAACTAATGCTAGCTACCTGGATAGCAGGTTACTAACTTTATTAAATAATGCTAGCTACCTGGATAGCAGGTTACTAACTTTATTAACTAATGCTAGCTACCTGGATAGCAGGTTACTAACTTTATTAACTAATGCTAGCTACCTGGATAGCAGGTTACTAACTTTATTAACTAATGCTAGCTACCTGGATAGCAGGTTACTAACTTTATTAACTAATGCTAGCTACCTGGATAGCAGGTTACTAACTTTATTAGCTAATTTGTTTTAATTATTTTACTTATTAAACTTGATTACAGGTGGTTTATTTAACTAATACCATTGTGTTTGTTGATTAATAATAACATTACCAGGTATTTCTGGATAGCTTATACTGGAGCAGTGTGTTTCCTTCACCTCATGTGTTCATGTGTCCCCTCTATTACAGCTACAACTGGCTGGCTCTGCACTATTAACGTGCACAATATCGTTAGTAATCAGTAATTAGTAACTTATTAACATTAATTAACACTATGTTTTAATTAAACTATTGTCAACTATAGTATTATAAGATGCAAGAATATAGTCTTAGGTACTGGTTTCATTAAAAACGAAGATCACTTCCTCAACCACTGTGATCTTAACGCTGTTACGAGAGGTGAAAACAACTGCGACATCATATCCTCCTCAGTGCGGAGTCCTCACACTGCCAACCTGCTAATACATAATATATATTATATATATGGGCAATTTCATAAAACATGAACAAGGAGGGAAAAAATGTATATATATATATTATATACATTATACAACGCAGCCTAGCGTTGCTAAACTATTTGCCTTTACTTTTAACACATCAGTTTCTTGCATCTACTCTAGTAGCACACTACACGCTGCTACATCTACTCTAGTAGCACACTACACGCTGCTACATCCAGTTTCTTGCATCTACTCTAGTAGCACACTACACGCTGCTACATCTACTCTAGTAGCACACTACACGCTGCTACATCCAGTTTCTTGCATCTACTCTAGTAGCACACTACACGCTGCTACATCCAGTTTCTTGCATCTACTCTAGTAGCACACTACACGCTGCTACATCTACTCTAGTAGCACACTACACGCTGCTACATCCAGTTTCTTGCATCTACTCTAGTAGCACACTACACGCTGCTACATCTACTCTAGTAGCACACTACACGCTGCTACATCCAGTTTCTTGCATCTACTCTAGTAGCACACTACACGCTGCTACATCCAGTTTCTTGCATCTACTCTAGTAGCACACTACACGCTGCTACATCTACTCTAGTAGCACACTACACGCTGCTACATCCAGTTTCTTGCATCTACTCTAGTAGCACACTACACGCTGCTACATCTACTTTAGTAGCACACTACACGCTGCTACATCTACTCTAGTAGCACACTACACGCTGCTACATTATATACTCTAGTAGCACACTACACGCTGCTACATCTACTCTAGTAGCACACTACACACTGCTACATTATCTACTCTAGTAGCACACTACACGCTGCATCTACTCTAGTAGCACACTACACGCTGCTACTAGAGTATCAGTAGCACACTACACGCTGCTACATCTACTCTAGTAGCACACTACACGCTGCTACATCTACTCTAGTAGCACACTACACACTGCTACATTATCTACTCTAGTAGCACACTACACGCTGCTACATCTACTCTAGTAGCACACTACACACTGCTACATTATCTACTCTAGTAGCACACTACACGCTGCTGCTAGAGTACCAGGAGAATGGTTTTATTGTACAGGTTCTTATAATTCTGTTAAAATCTTATCACACACTCTACTACTACACACACGGATAAAGTTACTTTTGTGTATGATATTTCCAACAAGTACAAGTACAATACCTGTTGTGTCCCTGTAATACACGTAATTGTTTAAAGGTGACCTGAGTAATTGTTTAAAGGTGACCTGAGTAATTGTTTAAAGGTGACATGAGTAATTGTTTAAAGGTGACCTGAGTAATTGTTTAAAGGTGACCTGAGTAATTGTTTAAAGGTGACCTGAGTAATTGTTTAAAGGTGACCTGAGTAATTGTTTAAAGGTGACCTGAGTAATTGTTTAAAGGTGACCTGAGTAATTGTTTAAAGGTGACCTGAGTAATTGTTTAAAGGTGACCTGAGTAATTGTTTAAAGGTGACCTGAGTAATTGTTTAAAGGTGACCTGAGTAATTGTTTAAAGGTGACCTGAGTAATTGTTTAAAGGTGACCTGAGTAATTGTGTAAAGGTGACCTGAGTAATTGTGTAAAGGTGACCTGAGTAATTGTTTAAAGGTGACCTGAGTAATTGTTTAAAGGTGACCTGAGTAATTGTTTAAAGGTGACCTGAGTAATTGTTTAAAGGTGACCTGAGTAATTGTTTAAAGGTGACCTGAGTAATTGTTTAAAGGTGACCTGAGTAATTGTTTAAAGGTGACCTGAGTAATTGTTTAAAGGTGACCTGAGTAATTGTTTAAAGGTGACCTGAGTAATTGTTTAAAGGTGACCTGGGTAATTGTGTAAAGGTGACCTGAGTAATTGTTTAAAGGTGACCTGAGTAATTGTTTAAAGGTGACCTGAGTAATTGTTTAAAGGTGACCTGAGTAATTGTTTAAAGGTGACCTGAGTAATTGTTTAAAGGTGACCTGAGTAATTGTTTAAAGGTGACCTGAGTAATTGTTTAAAGGTGACCTGAGTAATTGTTTAAAGGTGACCTGAGTAATTGTTTAAAGGTGACCTGGGTAATTGTTTAAAGGTGACCTGAGTAATTGTTTAAAGGTGATCTGAGTAATTGTTTAAAGGTGATCTGAGTAATTGTTTAAAGGTGACCTGAGTAATTGTTTAAAGGTGACCTGAGTAATTGTTTAAAGGTGACCTGAGTAATTGTTTAAAGGTGACCTGAGTAATTGTTTAAAGGTGACCTGAGTAATTGTTTAAAGGTGACCTGAGTAATTGTTTAAAGGTGACCTGAGTAATTGTTTAAAGGTGACCTGAGTAATTGTTTAAAGGTGACCTGAGTAATTGTTTAAAGGTGACCTGAGTAATTGTTTAAAGGTGACCTGAGTAATTGTTTAAAGGTGACCTGAGTAATTGTTTAAAGGTGACCTGAGTAATTGTTTAAAGGTGACCTGAGTATACTGTACCTTATATATATATACTAGTCTCAAATAATACTGGAAACTAGCTGAAAGCTTTATCCGAGGAATATTAAAATATAATAATATAGATAGTATAATATAGATAGTATATATATAGATAGTATAATATAGATAGTATATATATATGGGTAAACTAGACCTGCATATATATTCTTGTGAACTCGGCTAGTATATATGAAACATTTGTCATGGAGTTGTAGAGGGAGTTATGTGCCTCGCCGGGCTAAAGTAGTGGATGACCTTGCTGTACGGCAAGTTAAACAAGGATCTGAAACTACTAGGTTCCGTACAGACTCAACTCTGCACCCGTGTCAATATGTTCATTATATGCAAGCCTCTTGATTTATAAGCCAGGGGAACGGCCCATAGCAGGGTAACCAGGATGGCCCGGTACCCAAAAACCTGATTAACTAGCAAAGATAAAAAATAACAATAGGTAATAAATAGATACCAATACTATACCGATATAAGATGCATAGTTCAGAAGGATCAAACCGGGATGTTCCTTCTGTTAGTCTTTTGTAGGAGTCCATGGCTGTCGTATTCTTGTCTCTATTTCTTTTCTTCTCCGTGTTGTATTAGTCTTGCTGTAACGAGGAGTTAAAGAAATGTCTGGTATGGAATACTATGTTCCTGGGAGGTATCATGTTAAAGATATAGAGGGCTGGGGAAGTCCCTGAATCATGTCAATGAGCAATAAGAGGAAACTGAGTAGGTAACGTGGTTGTCCCTTCCACAATCAGCAAAGATGAAAAAGAGGGGTGAGGGGGGAGAGAGAGAGAGACAGGCATTAAGTCAAGCTACGAGAGCCGTCCAGTGGACTGTTGAGCCCTTAGAACTGGCTGGGTAGCAGGACCTTCTGCAAGTCTGAACACGATCTGGGGAGGGGAGGGTGATTGTGGTAGAGGGACAATTACGTCAGCTAAGGCTAAGAGAAAGAGACTAAGGGGGTTCATAGAAATCTAGATACTTGGTAGCTCTAGCGAACCCCACTATGTTACTGATAGAGAAGGTTTGATGGAAGGTGTCCTCTCTGATGGTATAGTTACCAAGGTAGTATTTCCTGTGTATGGAGAATGCTGGACAGCTTGTGAGGTAGTGTGCTGTAGTTTCCTTGTCTTCATCACACTTTTTGCATATGCTGTTGGGTTCGTTGCCAATCTTGTTTTGGAAATATCTGAGATAACTGCATCCTGTGAATAGATGGGTAAGAATTCTGGTATTGTCTCTATTATGTCGTTTAACGTCAAGGTGTCTGTCAAAGAAACTAATAATGTTGGATTGTTGAAAATCGGTGGAGGATCTGAAGAGTAATAAACGTTTATAGTGAAGTCGAGAAAAGTAACTGTCTAAAATATTAGAGAGAGAGGAGTGAGTGTAAGGGGCAAAAGGAGGCGGTCCAATGGGAGGAGAGTCGGATCCTTTGTTTGCCAGAGAATCTGCGAGATCATTGCCTATTATTCCACTATGCGCCGGTACCCAGTGGAGGGTGACGGATATCGTCCTGCTAAGTGCGTTGAGGGCTCCTAGAGTGTCTAGGATGAGGTGGGATCGGGTGATAGTGCCCGATAAGGCAAGAAGAACTGCTTTGCTGTCGATACAGATGTGGAGCTCAGTAGCTTCGTAAGAGTTCTTGGAGAGGTGGATACAGAGGTGGAGTAAAGCCAGTAACTCTGCTTGGAAGATGGTTGTGGTGTTTCCGAGTTGGTGGAAATGTTCTGTAATAGACGATGAGTTAAGAAAGAGGACGAACCCCGCTCCTGCGAGGTTGTTCTTCACCGAGCCGTCGGTGTATCCCACTAGAGTGTCTGGTTTATGTAGGAGAGGGATCTGAACAAGGGCAACCGAGCGGTCGAGAATATCCGTTGTGAAGGATTGTGACAGGTTGAGTGATGCTGGTGCTATGTCTAAAAGGGAAAGAGGTGGGAGAATCTTCTTGAGCTGATCATTGAGGAGTATTGAGTGAGATGTCAGCTTTCCGTCTCTAAGTCCGTATGAGGCGGACGAAGTGATGTTAAGCCTGAGGAAAGTTTTAAGAGAAATGGAGTGAATCCTGAGGTCGAGAGGGGGGATTTGGGTGAGGACCTCTAAGTAACAGGTCGGAGAGGAGGAGATGGCTCCTGTGATCAGGAGTAGAGCTGTTCTTTGTACGTGGTTGAGCATGTTAGTAGCCCATTTTCTGGAGTCCAGTATATGGCTCCAGACCACTGATCCATGAGAAAGAGCTGGGATGATGATTTGTTCGTAGATCCAGAGTGTGTAGGAAGGTTTAAGTCCCCATTTTTTGCTACAGGCAGATCTGATGGTGTGCAGGTTCCTGATAGCTTTATTACAAGTGGCATCAATGTGGGGTCTCCATAGGAGCTTGGAGTCAAGGGTAATACCAAGGTACTTGACCTCATTTACAAGGTGAATGTTGATGCCTCTAAGAGATAGGGGTTTATCAAGCGTCCATAATCGTTTCCTGGTAAACATGATAGCTTGGGTCTTGAGAGAGCTAAGTTTTACGCCGATGGTCGTGCACCAATTATCAATGATAATGAGGTATCTTTGACAAATGGCTCTGATGGTGGGAATGTCTAATCCTCCTACTATGATGGAGAGGTCGTCTGCGAAGGCTTGAATGAATGATGTGTCTAGGTTGTGGTTAGAGAGGAGGTCGTTAAGAGTAAGGTTCCAGAGAAATGGCGAGAGTACTCCTCCTTGAGGGCAGCCTCTGCTGATAGTTCTAGAAATAGAGATACCGTTAAGGGTGAGAGTGATAACTCTACGGGAAACCATATAGTAAATCCAGTTGCATAAGGTGGTGGGAATTCCCGAGTTGTTGAGGTTATGGTAGATGGCGTCATAAGAGATGTTGTCGAAGGCTCCTTCAATGTCCAAAAAGAGTCCTAGGGCTTGATTTCCAGCTGAGAGGGAAAATTCAATTTTGTTGGTAATCTTGTGAAGGGCGGAGTCGGTAGAGAAGTTTCTCTTGAAACCATGTTGGTTGTCTGTAGTGAGGTTGGAGAGTCCAATGTCGGCTTCAATGTACCAGATGATCAGTTTCTCCATAATCTTCTGTAGAGTCGAAGTAAGGCTGATGATACGAAATGCTCGCACATTTGTATAGTCGTCTTTAAGAGGTTTGGCGATGACCACACCATTAGCCTCATTCCAGTCGTCAGGTGTGATACCCAAACGGAAGGAGTGTTTATAAAGGTGAAGAATACAAGGTGAGATAGAATCCCAGCATGCGTTAATCATATTGAGTCGAATGTTGTCTGGTCCCGGAGATTTGTTCGGAGCCATGTCCATGCAGACTTTCTTCAGTCTGATAGGCGTGATCAAAGAGTTGATGATGTTGTCATGATCTGGGCCTGGCCTGGGTCAATAGGAGTGTGTGCTATCGGGTTGTCAATGGGGAGGAGAGCTTCCGCTAGCGTATCTAGGGTTTCTCTTGGAGATGATGTGAAGCTGCCGTTCGGTTTTTTAAGGGATCCTAGTTGTCCGGGATTAGTGTTCAGTGATTTCATGACTTTATGGAGTCTAGCTGCTGAGGGTATGCTAGAAATAATAATAATATAGATAGTATAATATGTAGATAATTTATAATGTAGATAATATAATATTGATAATATATAATATAGATAATATAATATAAAATAATATAACATTGACAATAATATGATGTAGATAATGTAATATAGATTCTTTCCCTTATCAACCCTACATGCATCACACCTGATCACACAGTGTCAGGGACCTGATCACACCTGATCACACCCAAATATAAAGTTACCGCTTCTTTAGATAATATTATTATTTTTTCATTGAAACAACTTATAAATTAACATTCCGCAGGGGAATTTTATCGTGTTTCACTATCTGAGAGGATCTCCGTTTGGTTGCAGCGATCAAGGAGAGAACAGACAGCTAACACATTGGGAACAGATAAACCACGGCAAACAGTGGACAAACACAAGGAAATTCCTTATCATCTTCCCCTGTATATTGTAAGTAAAACACAAGGAAATTCCTTATCATCTTCCCCTGCATATTGTAAGTAAAACACAAGGAAATTCCTTATCATCTTCCCCTGTATATTGTAAGTAAAACACAAGGAAATTCCTTATCATCTTCCCCTGCATATTGTAAGTAAAACACAAGGAAATTCCTTATCATCTTCCCCTGCATATTGTAAGTAAAACACAAGGAAATTCCTTATCATCTTCCCCTGCATATTGTAAGTAAAACACAAGGAAATTCCTTATCATCTTCCCCTGCATATAGTAAGTAAAACACAAGGAAATTCCTTATCATCTTCCCCTGTATATTGTAAGTAAAACACAAGGAAATTCCTTATCATCTTCCCCTGCATATAGTAAGTAAAACACAAGGAAATTCCTTATCATCTTCCCCTGTATATTGTAAGTAAAACACAAGGAAATTCCTTATCATCTTCCCCTGCATATTGTAAGTAAAACACAAGGAAATTCCTTATCATCTTCCCCTGCACATTGTAAGTAAAACACAAGGAAATTCCTTATCATCTTCCCCTGCATATAGTAAGTAAAACACAAGGAAATTCCTTATCATCTTCCCCTGTATATTGTAAGTAAAACACAAGGAAATTCCTTATCATCTTCCCCTGTATATTGTAAGTAAAACGCAAGGAAATTCCTTATCATCTTCCCCTGTATATTGTAAGTAAAACGCAAGGAAATTCCTTATCATCTTCCCCTGTATATTGTAAGTAAAACACAAGGAAATTCCTTATCATCTTCCCCTGCATATTGTAAGTAAAACACAAGGAAATTCCTTATCATCTTCCCCTGTATATTGTAAGTAAAACACAAGGAAATTCCTTATCATCTTCCCCTGCATATTGTAAGTAAAACACAAGGAAATTCCTTATCATCTTCCCCTGCATATTGTAAGTAAAACACAAGGAAATTCCTTATCATCTTCCCCTGCATATTGTAAGTAAAACACAAGGAAATTCCTTATCATCTTCCCCTGCATATAGTAAGTAAAACACAAGGAAATTCCTTATCATCTTCCCCTGTATATTGTAAGTAAAACACAAGGAAATTCCTTATCATCTTCCCCTGCATATAGTAAGTAAAACACAAGGAAATTCCTTATCATCTTCCCCTGTATATTGTAAGTAAAACACAAGGAAATTCCTTATCATCTTCCCCTGCATATTGTAAGTAAAACACAAGGAAATTCCTTATCATCTTCCCCTGCACATTGTAAGTAAAACACAAGGAAATTCCTTATCATCTTCCCCTGCATATAGTAAGTAAAACACAAGGAAATTCCTTATCATCTTCCCCTGTATATTGTAAGTAAAACACAAGGAAATTCCTTATCATCTTCCCCTGTATATTGTAAGTAAAACGCAAGGAAATTCCTTATCATCTTCCCCTGTATATTGTAAGTAAAACGCAAGGAAATTCCTTATCATCTTCCCCTGCATATAGTAAGTAAAACACAAGGAAATTCCTTATCATCTTCCCCTGTATATTGTAAGTAAAACACAAGGAAATTCCTTATCATCTTCCCCTGTATATTGTAAGTAAAACACAAGGAAATTCCTTATCATCTTCCCCTGTATATTGTAAGTAAAACGCAAGGAAATTCCTTATCATCTTCCCCTGTATATTGTAAGTAAAACGCAAGGAAATTCCTTATCATCTTCCCCTGCATATAGTAAGTAAAACACAAGGAAATTCCTTATCATCTTCCCCTGTATATTGTAAGTAAAACACAAGGAAATTCCTTATCATCTTCCCCTGTATATAGTAAGTAAAACACAAGGAAATTCCTTATCATCTTCCCCTGTATATTGTAAGTAAAACACAAGGAAATTCCTTATCATCTTCCCCTGTATATTGTAAGTAAAACGCAAGGAAATTCCTTATCATCTTCCCCTGTATATTGTAAGTAAAACGCAAGGAAATTCCTTATCATCTTCCCCTGCATATAGTAAGTAAAACACAAGGAAATTCCTTATCATCTTCCCCTGTATATTGTAAGTAAAACACAAGGAAATTCCTTATCATCTTCCCCTGTATATTGTAAGTAAAACACAAGGAAATTCCTTATCATCTTCCCCTGCATATAGTAAGTAAAACACAAGGAAATTCCTTATCATCTTCCCCTGTATATTGTAAGTAAAACACAAGGAAATTCCTTATCATCTTCCCCTGCATATAGTAAGTAAAACACAAGGAAATTCCTTATCATCTTCCCCTGTATATTGTAAGTAAAACACAAGGAAATTCCTTATCATCTTCCCCTGCATATTGTAAGTAAAACACAAGGAAATTCCTTATCATCTTCCCCTGTATATTGTAAGTAAAACACAAGGAAATTCCTTATCATCTTCCCCTGCATATTGTAAGTAAAACACAAGGAAATTCCTTATCATCTTCCCCTGCATATTGTAAGTAAAACACAAAGACATTCCTTATCATCTTCCCCTGCATATTGTAAGTAAAACACAAGGAAATTCCTTATCATCTTCCCCTGTATATTGTAAGTAAAACACAAGGAAATTCCTTATCATCTTCCCCTACATATTGTAAGTAAAACACAAGGAAATTCCTTATCATCTTCCCCTGTATATTGTAAGTAAAACACAAGGAAATTCCTTATCACCTCCCCTGCATATTGTAAGTAAAACACAAGGAAATTTCAAATTACAAGCCGATTAAAGTTGAGTGAAGAAGAATTACGATTTTTGCCCCGACAAAATTGTTAATGCTACCAAACATACAGTTCTTGAAATATCTCCCAATTGTTTAAGTAACGTCCCCCTAATTTGAAGTAAAGTTCCTCCTAATTGTGTCAGTCATGTCCCCCTAGATATGTCCCCCTAAACACGCTTTATGTTAAAGTTTTTTAAGTTTGTTGCCATTCAATAATAATTTTAAAATTTTTTGTAGACTTATCAGATCTTTAAGATGTTTATTGTTAACTACTTCAGATTTGTGTTAAGTTTGATAATAATGTCCCCCTAATTATGTAAGTAAGGTCTCTTTGTCCCAGGTTTCTGATGTGCCAGCACTACTGCGACTACTCTTCTGACGTACTCTTCCAATCAATACCTTCCTTCCTCTTACAGTTCATACCTAAACAACCCTTCATGCACGCCAAACGACTATTTGGTATTAACAAATACTAATTAATTAATCAATTAGTTAATTAATAAATTAGTTTTAATTAGATTCCAGCAAAGACATTCCAGACAATTCTATTGTGACCCATTAACCAATGTTTTATGGACACCTTCATTTGAGTTTGAGGATATTGGTAAATATTAGTGGTCCTATTAAAAGGGCACAGTGTAGTTGACTTTGTCACACTATGAAATTATTTAAACCCTTGATGGTTAGGATATTCGTCTCATCACTAGGATGGGTACATTATGACCCTTACCTCGTAAACCGCTCGATCCCTGCCCTTTAACCAATGTTGTATCAGATTTGTTAGATTGACCTTATCTACTATATTTTAGACTAAGGGATGCTTATTGGGCAGCTATAGCTAACAAAGTCGCAAAAAAAGGAACTTTTTAAACATTACAGTGCATAAAAACAATAAATTTTATTTCTGAGCAGTGCATATGGAAGTATGGGTCACGTGGCTAATGTTCAGAACTTCTTAACGTGCTAGGTTAATGATGCCAAAATTAAGCCACTATCGTCGAAAACGCTATTATTTTTGTTTACCACTATCCTCAAAATCAAATGAACGTGTCCATATAATAGGATCTTTATTGAGAATTGTTATTTAAAAGTAAGCAGTGGCATATGAGAGAGCAACTTTGTGTTTTAATTTTGTGGAATTTGATTTATTTAGTTGTGTTTGTGTAAGTATTGGAGTTGTTGGGTGACTGCCTTGTAGTACACTTTTATATTAATACCATTCAAATTGTTACACGATTAATAGCATATCACACTTTCCAAGGGTTTGCATACAAGTTTTTATTGCGTCATGAAATAATATTATATCTTTTTGTATTATTTGGCATGTTAGTTTGTAATCACAAATTTTTCAGCGATTCAGAGATTTATTGTGTGGTAGAGCGGGGGATGATTATATCACCCCACCCCCCCCCCCCCCCCCCCCCCAGTTACATCACCCCCCCCCCCCCCCCCACCCCCACCCCCCCCCCCCCAGTTTACATCACCCCGGCAATTCCGATAACGTAACTTAATACCCGTGATAACGAGTAAACGCCTGGTTGTAGCACTTCCACCACTCAATCTGCTTCAACTCTAATTACATTTTATCCGGGAGAATGTTGAGTAAAAGTCGGATGATGTTTTTATCTGGGTCGTAAAATCTTGGGAACTGTTCTGTAGAGTATTTATAGGCTGTATAGATCCTGTTCTTGTGTAAAACTAATTGTGAGTGAAGGAAAGCTGTTATATTAGATACGTAAGCAATGTTTCGCTAAACGTTAAAAGAGTCTACATAAAACTGGCAATGGAACGCGCAGTTGAAATATTTCAGAAAGATTCGCGCTCACCATACGCGCAGTGATATGGTCAGTGCGCGCGCTGAGTTGATATCATCTGATGATAATATACAGATACCCTGTCTGTACTGATACGGGATTTGTCCCCAGGTAAGACGCCCCCCCCCCCCCCCCCCCCCCCCCCCTAATAACGTAAGCATTTGCCGGAAAAATGAAGATCTACGGTAATAATATAGTATAAATTACAATGCCGATAAATTATATATGTAATATGATATTGATACTCCTACTTATTTTTATGAATCACGCCCTGTGAGGACTTTAAAACATGAGCATATTACTTACAACTTAGCAGGGTAAGTATCAGCACACTTAGCCGGGTAAGTAACAGCACACGACAAAACAACTTTAGTCATTAACTCGTTTATAATCTGATAATTGTAAGCAATTCTTAACTTAAAGTTTACGTAACGACTACAGTCTACACGTATAACTTACTTAATTATAACCTTTATAATTATATTCGCTACAAAGTGAGGAATAAACCACACCCGGATGAATAGTTACATTTGTTTGTTCAGATTATGCCGATGATTATGCTCTAATCTGGATATTAATATCAACACACTGCCGTGAAGTCTTCTTGTTTAGTAAGGTTTGTAGGTGTAACATATCCTAATTGTAACCATGACAACGGATTCTTATCTGGGCACGACTCTCACTCCACCTTGACAAATATCCCTCCCTCAGTTTGATACTTTCGTTTCCTTCTTTTAAACCGCCAAATTCATTACATTGCATATTATTTGGCCGATTAATTAATTACACTTATAGCTGTCAACACTTATAGCTGTCAACACTATTAAATGCCTTTTAATAGGGTCACTTTGGTATCTGTTATTAAATTGAAAATAATTCGGTCATTGATTGTTTGCTAGTAAATACACTATACACTATACACTATACACTATACATTGATTGTATGCTAGTAAATGAGGAATACTGATTTCGAAATATGCATTGATTCGAAGATATTCATTCCACGTGTACAGTGTAAAACTGATATTGTGTGATCAGGGAGTGTGCTGTCCCATCTTCATGACAGCATGACATTTGAAACCGAAATTCTAATATTAGAAATACTTTCAATTTGGAATAACACGCGTCCAGGTTATTAAGTTTAGTAAAGGAATAATTCGATTGTGCTCATTAATATTAACGTGAACTTGGCTGTAAAATGTAATTTAAGACCTTACCAGGGTAGATTGTAGATAGAATATTTTGTTCCGCTCGATTCAGGTTCCTGTACAGTGTACGTTACTCCTGTAATCTGTATACTTTTTACACTGTTTAAAATATCTCTCACTACGTTAGTCAGATCCTCTAGTGTTATTATGGTTACTATGGTTACTATGGTTACTAGTGTTATTATGGTTACTATGGTTACTAGTGTTATTATGGTTACTATGGTTACTAGTGTTATTATGGTTACTAGTGTTACTATGGTTACTAGTGTTATTATGGTTACTATGGTTACTAGTGTTATTATAGTTACTATGGTTACTAGTGTTATTATGGTTACTATGGTTACTAGTGTTATTATAGTTACTATGGTTACTAGTGTTATTATGGTTACTAGTGTTATTATGGTTACTATGGTTACTATGGTTCGGTTACTATGTTTACTATGGTTACTAGTGTTATTATGGTTACTATAGTTACTAAGGTACACCCACCTAATAATAGTGTAATATGTATGTACTACGGCTTTAAGCAGGAATGAGGAATAACAATTCCGAGATTTGGTATTGTTCTTTTTATAAACGATTCGTCTGCTCGAGTATTTGTTTGAAATAATATTAATAATAACTCATCAGCTATATCATAAATATATAGCTATGTATTTATTACACTCATCAGTGGAGAGTCTCACTGTACTTGAGAGTATCTTAAAATAGTTTAAAGGTTTAAAAACGAACTTATCATACAAACAATCGCCGACATTTTAGTTTACAGCTTTATATCGTGCCGATATTATCTCCTAAATTAGATATTACCTGGGAACCCCAGGCTATTATAATTATTTTCATATTCATAGAGATTAGGCGAAATTATACTGAGCGCCGCCCAGTAAAATTAGATATTGTCCTTATGCAGTAGTGTTACTATGGTTACATTATCTTATCTGGTTACTGTTTGGTCAATTATATGGTTACATTACCATATTTTGCAGCAAATATAAAATATCTCACCTCTACTGCTCTATCAGTAGTTTTGTGTGTGTGTGTTTATTATTATCTCTCTCTAGCTTTGTAGATTTGAATACAATGTTTGTACATTTTCTGTACACCGTGTACGATGCCTTTTCCGCTACAGAGTGAACACTTGGATATGGTAGATGATGCTGCTATGGTTGAGAATGGCTAATTCCTTCCGGAATATGTGGATCAGATACACATGGCGACCTAGTATTTTCAAGGAGTTAGAAGTAAAATCGGTGTTGAACACAATGATGAAGTGCGATTTGACAAACTGAACCAGAGAAGTGTGCCTAGAAAGAGGTTATCAGAATGGCTAGAGACAGTGTGATGTATGCTGGACAATTATTGTGGTCCATTGTTACAATCCGCCGTTGAAACAGCTACAGACAACCGAATGTTCAGGAAAGAAAAAATAGCAGATACGACTAAAATCATAGAACTACAAGAGAAATTGCTCTGTAAGCAAGAAGAAGACATGACAAAAATCAGTGATTTGCAGGAGAAGTTAGCTTTGAAGAAAGATGATGAGATTGGAATTGTGAAAAGTGCAGCTCAGAAAGGGATGAAGACCTTTTCGTCTCTGTTAAAAAACACGTGCAAAAACGCTTTTGCACCGAAGAAGATTCAAGCTGCGGTGAAAAGAATTTCCCTAGAAGAAGATCGAAGTAAAAGTCTGATTATCTTTGGGCTTCCAGAGACTGAGGAGAACCTGGATGCTAAGGTATCTGGTATTTTGTTGGACCATCTCAACGAAAAACCGAAAATTTTGAGATGTAAACGAGTTGGAAAGGACACAACTAAAAGTGAGCGTGTCAGACCAGTGAAATTCGCTGTGTCAAGCTCAGATCAAGCTCGTACCATCTTGAGCAAGACTAAGCTACTAAGGCATGTAGAGGGGTTTAGTTCTGTTTACATTACTCCAGATAGATCAGCTGCAGACAGAATAGCCTACAAGAAAGTTGTCGACCAACTGCTCAACAAAAGGACAAAGTTCACGTAATCAGAAACTTTAGAGTCGTTAGTTCGGAGAAGGAGCCTTGAGAGTTTTATATTTTCTATAAGTACAATATTATATGTTTTAATTCATTGATTTATTAGTGTTTTGCAAGGGGCCAATGTTATTGCGGGTGCGGTATTCAATACTGCATACTTCCGTGTTTTGGTGACCCGTCTTTCAATACATAATTTGGGTTTCAATATAGGGGCTGTTCACATATTACGTAATCAGCCGAGGGGGAGGGGGGTTGAGATGATTACGCTTGTGTAATTTTCATACAATAGCATTGGTAGCTCGCAGTATTGCTGCATTGGTAGCTCGCAGTATTGCAGCATTGGTAGCTCGCAGTATTGCAGCATTGGTAGCTCGCAGTATTGCAGCATTGGTAGCTCGCAGTATTGCAGCATTGGTAGCTCGCAGTATTGCAGCATTGGTAGCTCGCAGTATTGCAGCATTGGTAGCTCGCAGTATTGCAGCATTGGTAGCCCGCAGTATTGCAGCATTGGTAGCTCGCAGTATTGCAGCATTGGTAGCTCGCAGTATTGCAGCATTGGTAGCTCGCAGTATTGCTGCATTGGTAGCTCGCAGTATTGCAGCATTGGTAGCTCGCAGTATTGCAGCATTGGTAGCTCGCAGTATTGCAGCATTGGTAGCTCGCAGTATTGCTGCATTGGTAGCTCGCAGTATTGCTGCATTGGTAGCTCACAGTATTGCAGCATTGGTAGCTCGCAGTATTGCAGCATTGGTAGCTCGCAGCATTGCAGCATTGGTAGCTCGCAGCATTGCAGCATTGGTAGCTCGCAGCATTGCAGCATTGGTAGCTCGCAGCATTGCAGCATTGGTAGCTCGCAGTATTGCAGCATTGGTAGCTCGCAGTATTGCAGCATTGGTAGCTCGCAGTATTGCAGCATTGGTAGCTCGCAGTATTGCAGCATTGGTAGCTCGCAGTATTGCAGCATTGGTAGCTCGCAGTATTGCAGCATTGGTAGCTCGCAGTATTGCTGCATTGGTAGCTCGCAGTATTGCTGCATTGGTAGCTCGCAGTATTGCAGCATTGGTAGCTCGCAGTATTGCAGCATTGGTAGCTCGCAGTATTGCAGCATTGGTAGCTCGCAGTATTGCTGCATTGGTAGCTCGCAGTATTGCTGCATTGGTAGCTCGCAGTATTGCAGCATTGGTAGCTCGCAGTATTGCAGCATTGGTACCTCGCAGTATTGCAGCATTGGTAGCTCGCAGTATTGCAGCATTGGTAGCTCGCAGTATTGCTGCATTGGTAGCTCGCAGTATTGCAGCATTGGTAGCTCGCAGTATTGCAGCATTGGTAGCTCGCAGTATTGCAGCATTGGTAGCTCGCAGTATTGCTGCATTGGTAGCTCGCAGTATTGCAGCATTGGTAGCTCGCAGTATTGCAGCATTGGTAGCTCGCAGTATTGCAGTATTGGTAGCTCGCAGTATTGCAGCATTGGTAGCTCTCAGTATTGCAGCGTTGGTAGGCGGTAGCTCGCAGTATTGCAGCATTGGTAGCTGATCGCAGTATTGCAGCATTGGTAGCTCGCAGTATTGCTGCATTGGTAGCTGATCGCAGTATTGCGAATTTCATCTACCAACAATTATGATCGTTAACTCTAATTAAATATCATTGCCTTGTAAGGTAGTGTTTCTATAGTAACACTACCTTGTTTCCATAGTAACACTACCTTGTTTCTATAGTAACACTACCTTTTTTCTATAGTAACACTACCTTGTTTCCATAGTAACACTACCTTGATCAATACTAGCGGTCCGACACACACGCGTAATTAGACAGAATTTCAATTATTACGAAATTCTTTTAAAAACTCTTTGTTTAATTGCGACTCTTTGTGTTTTAAACAGATCCAAAAGAGTATACTAATAAAGTACTATTAATGTAGTACTATAATAATTCACATGGCATTTAAAGAAGCTGCTTGTAATGCACCAGCTGATAACATGCACACTGTCTTTGTCAGAGATTGTCAAAGTAGAAAGATAAATCCCCGCTAAGCAGAGAGTACGATAGAAGAGGTAGCAGATATCTCTCGTTACAGTTGTTTTGTTGAATTTGTTGCTGACGAGATATCCTCTCTCTCGTTGCAGTTGTTTTGTTGAATTTGTTGGTAACGAGATATCTAATATACGCCCCCTCAACTGTAATCAATACCCGCTCAACCGTAATCAATACCCGCTCAACCGTAATCAATACCCCCTCAACCGTAATCAATACCCCCTCAACCGTAATCAATACCCCCTCAACCGTAATCAATACCCCCTCAACCGTAATCAATACCCCCTCAACCGTAATCAATACCCCCTCAACCGTAATCAATACCCCCTCAACCGTAATCAATACCCCCTCAACCGTAATCACTACCCCCTCAACCGTAATCAATACCCCCTCAACCGTAATCAATACCCCCTCAACCGTAATCAATACCCCCTCAACCGTAATCAATACCCCCTCAACCGTAATCACTACCCCCTCAACCGTAATCAATACCCCCTCAACCGTAATCAATACCCCCTCAACCGTAATCAATACCCCCTCAACCGTAATCAATACCCCTCAACCGTAATCAATACCCCCTCAACCGTAATCAATACCCCCTCAACCGTAATCAATAGCCCCTCCTAACAGCAACAACCAACCCCCTCAACCGTAATCAATACCCCCTCAACCGTAATCAATACCCCCTCAACCGTAATCAATACCCCCTCAACCGTAATCAATACCCCCTCAACCGTAATCAATACCCCCTCAACCGTAATCAATACCCCCTCAACCGTAATCAATACCCCCTCAACCGTAATCAATACCCCCTCAACCGTAATCAATACCCCCTCAACCGTAATCAATACCCCCTCAACCGTAATCAATACCCCTCAACCGTAATCACTACCCCCTCAACCGTAATCAATACCCCCTCAACCGTTATCAATAGCCCCTCAACCGAAATCAATACCCCCTCAACCGTAATCAATACCCCCTCAACCGTAATCAATACCCCCTCAACCGTAATCAATACCCCCTCAACCGTAATCAATACCCCCTCAACCGTAATCAATACCCCCTCAACCGTAATCAATACCCCCTCAACCGTAATCAATACCCCCTCAACCGTAATCAATAGCCCCTCCTAACAGCAACAACCAACCCCCCCCCCCTCCCGTAATCAACCGTCAGCATTTGGAAACCCCCTCCCCCTCTCGTGAACGACCCCTTACGGTGATTGAATAAAACGCTAATTGCGATTTCGTTAGATTGAATGCCAACCACTCCTGATTTGATTTAGGTTTGATTCTTGTAAATATCGTTAACTTGGAGTGTATAATGACGAAATATCTTCATTGAAACTAAAATGCTGCTACCAAAGTGCCACAATTCATTTAAAGATAACATTTAAAGATAACATTTAAAGATAACATTTAAAGATAACATTTAAAGATAACATTTAAAGATAACATATAAAGTTAACATATAAAGTTAACATTTAAAGATAACATTTAAAGATAACATTTAAATTGAACATTTAAAGATAACATATAAAGTTAACATTTAAAATTAACATTTAAAGATAACATATAAAGATAACATTTAAAGATAACATTTAAAGATAACATTTAAAGATAACATTTAAAGATAACATTTAAGGATAACATATAAAGTTAACATATAAAGTTAACATTTAAAGATAACATTTAAAGATAACATTTAAATTTAACATTTAAAGATAACATATAAAGTTAACATTTAAAATTAACATTTAAAGATAACATATAAAGATAACATTTAAAGATAACATTTAAAGATAACATTTAAAGATAACATATAAAGATAACTACAAATGTTGTCTGTTTGACAAGTAGCCTCCCAATTGCTGTGCTTCACAACTACCACGTCACGTTATGCCCATATAAGGAGATGATCCACGTTATGCCCATATAAGGAGGTGATCCACCTCACATCACACTCCCTGACTTGTACAGCAGAAATTGGTCTGCAATTATTTGAGATGTATTTCTAATGACGTGCATACGAACAGTGTTTCAGACAATCCACTGTCACAATTTGCAGATATTTGCACTGTCACAGTGTTTTAAAAAGGTGTCACGTTGTTTTAAAAGTGTATTTTATAGTGTTTGTTTTGTACATCTCTGTTTATTAAGATATTCGTAACTCGTAAAAAGAACACTTAAGTTGAGTCTCTGTCTAAAAAGATCTTGACAAATGATATTTTATTTGCTTTGGTACCATACTGTTGGTTTTAATACTTACTTTTGTTTGGAGACGAAGAGAGCAGCCGTTTACATTTTTATCTGTCAGTCGACTGGTTGAAATATTTTATTAGTTTTACCCTCTTATATTAGAACCCCCCTTATATTACCCCCATACAACCTCAGAATGAAGGACAACTCAGCGAGGAAGACTCACATCCGAACATAACGCAAGGATAACATCTCCGATAAAACTGTGGGAACCTCAACATAAAGGTGGCATCTGAGAGAAGGACTATAAGGAAGCCCCCTAACTATACTACTAGCCAGTATACTGACTAGATGACATGACCTGCCCCAGAACATGGGAGCTAACACTAGAATTGCATCCATGGTCAGTACTGCAGCTCACTTACTTATACTTTCGGGGGGGGGGGGGGGGGGGGTGGTTTGGAAGGAAAGGTCAGTTCACATACGTTGAAGATTTATTTTCGCATTCATTTCATAGATCGAATAATGGGATTGAACCAGACTGTCTATAAGCTTCTCAGATGACCGAGTTTCATTGCATCCTAATATATAAAGCTTAACGAGTATTATTATTACGTGTGATCAGGTGATTGGGTTGGCACTATGCTACTATGGGAATCTTGCAGAGAGCCTAATTACGGTGTCGTAGCACGCTATAATCAATTTTGCTAACGAGATAAACAAATCGCTTGATAACTTCGTCATTTTACATCCGTTTTCCGCCATCTTTTTAGATCATATTGTTGATTTCATGACCTATAGCAATATGTTACAATAGAGTTTCTAACATGTTCACAAACAATTATAGTATAAGGAATTCAATGTTGATGGGGTATGGCCCCTAAAAATCGAATTTTCAAATTTTGGCGACGGTATCCTCGAATGAGTAGTTACAGTATGCCATCTGCACAGATCTCAAATATGAAATACAGCCTATGTAAATTGACTGCCCCCCCCCCCCCTGTAGTTAGTTAGTAAGTTATACTAGCAGGGCACTCCACTCTGTTAGTAGTGGTAGTTCACCATCACTGTTCTGATGTGTTATATCTACTATATAAGTATATAGAAGTGGTAACTGTAATACTACTATCCAGCTGTGTCTGACATGCAGGTCAAGTAAACTTTTCAAACTTATTGTTCCTTGTCACGTGATATGTCCTTATAAGGGCAGCAGGTCACGTGATATGTCAACTTTAATATTTTTTGAATACAAGTGATTCTGGAGAATTTACTGTAACATTATTATAAGATGGAGACCTTACAGATGCAGTTAAATTATGTTAATTATGTTAATTAATTTAAATTAAAAACATTTCAATGAATTGACATTGTGCAGTTTACGAATTTCTAACGGAGATGTTTTAAGCCAGAAAAGTTTCCCAATATAAACTGTGGAACTTAGTCTAACGGTTTAATTATGTTAATTAATCATGTTATTTAATTATGTTACTTAATTATGTTAACTAATTAGTAGTAGTAGTAAATCTTTCAAAGTACGAAATATCTCTTTAAAAGAGCATCCTAGGCACCTTATAGATATCAAAACGCATAAAAAAGAAAACAAAAACATCAACCATCTTCTAACTTCTTCCACTCCTCCCTATCTAAAGCTAAAAATCTAAGGTCTTCAAAATCAGTCAAATTCTTAAGTCTAATATCAAGATTTCTACTAGTCAAGTCTTTTCTAATAACATCTAATAAGTTTAAACATGGTCTACCCCGTCTCCCTTCCATAAAAATATCAGAATTTATAGCAAATAACATAGAGGTGTATGCTGGTGAGTCTTCCTGTCCTCTTGAGATATGTCCTAACATTCTCCATCGAAACTTAGAGACTCTCACAGACAAGGGAGTGACATAACAACGAGCATAGAGTGCCTCATTAGAAATAACCCCAGTAGGCCATCTGATGTTGAGGATTCTTCGGAGGTGTTTGCGATGAGCAATATCAAGTTCATTCAACGAAGCTAGTGGTGCAGCCCAGGAGTTGCAGTTGTAGAGTAGAATAGAGACTACTTGTGCCTCGTAGATTTTGATCTTCCTTTGGACTGAAATCTTGCTCTTCATCCAAACTTTCTGAAATTTACTAAAGGCAACATTACCAAGGAATATTCGATTCTTGATATCCTTAACAGTGCACATCAACGATCCTAAAGTTTTGTTAGAGCGCCACTCTTCATCACCTCTATACACTTTTCCAACAATCACCTTGCGTTTAACAGTGGGTTTAGGATCTGCTAAATAAAAATGGACAAATTCAGTCTTGGAAGAATTGATATGAAGGTCCCACTGCTGGAATATATCTTTAGCGATAGGAAGCATTTCTTTGAGTGGAGCAAGTTCAGTGTTATTAAAGTCAATATCATCAGAGTATCCTGTTTCGAGTGGTATGAATTCTTCTGAGATAGGAGGATTAGGGATTGGATGATTCACTGGGTAAGGTGTTGATGATACTTGGGAGAGTACAGATCTGAGGTGAATAAGTGCAGCGGCTTCAACAACAGTAAATAGATTACCTGATAGTGCATCTCCTTGAAATGCTCCAGTTGTGCTTTGGAACTCAATTGATACAGTATTATTGACTTTTACTTTCAACACTGTGTTTGATAGTAGGAGCCGTACCATCCTAATTTCATCACTAGTACAGCCAGCATCTTCAAGAACATTGAGTACTGTTTCTCTGCTGATGGTGTCAAAGGCACTTGACATGTCTATACTCATTCTGTGGTAGCTCCAATGCTTTCTAAGTACCACTGAGGTTAGCATACGTTGAGACCAAATTATATCGCCACAACTTCTACCTCTCTTGTAAGCACTTTGTGTAGGACCGGTGTACTGATCTAGCTTGCCTTGGATACGTTTTAGGGTAATCATTGACAGTAATTTTCTGGAGCAGTTTGAGAGGGTGAGAGGTCTGATGTTTGCTGCTGGACCAAGTGGTTTCTTAGGCTTTTGGAGTGGAGTAATGTTGCCTTTTCCAATAGATGTTATGGTGGTGTTTGTTTCAAATGCGGTATTTATACAGTCTGCATATTTCTGAAATACACTTCTGTTTGCATACTTAATCAATTCACTTGGGATATCATCAGGCCCAGTGGCTCTACCATTCTTCAAAGCTTTAGCAGCTATCTCAACTTCAATAGCAGTAATAGGGTCAGCGAGAGGACTAGGTTGATCAAAGAAAGTGTCAATAGGCTCAACTGTATGTTTTGCAGTGAACTTCTCTTCAAAGTGGTCCTTTAGTGTAGCAGCTTTTCCAGTGTCTGTACCTATGAAGTTAGAGTTTTCATCATGCACACTTATGGTTGGAGCACGTTTGATACCTGCTAGTTGGCGAGTGGCTGCAAAGTATGCTCTAGAACTATCAGTTTCGTTTATCTCTTCAGCAAGAGTGTCTGCATGCTCTTCTTGAAGGAGCTTGATTCTCTTACGAGTGTCATTTTGAATACGATTGATTTTGGTACGTATAACTGATCTATCTTCAGAGGTGTTGTTCTGATTGAGTAGAGCTTGTAGAACTTTCTTTTCATCAGACATCTCTCGAATTTCAAGGTCATTACAAAAGTTTTTAGGGCGTTTCCTAGGAAGGTATCCAATACTAACCTCAGCAGCTTTATGTACATTGTGAAACAAACTATTCATTTCTTCCTCAGGGTTAGGATTAACAGGGCTGTCTGTTAGAATATCATTCAATGTGTTGTTGTAATGCATTTTAGCAGCAGGATTACTGACAAGGGTTGTGATAGCAAAATGCATTTTAGGTTTCTGTTTGGGGAAGACAAGGTGAGCGTCACTGAAGTTGAAACGTGTAATAACAATTTTGTGATCAGATTTAACAAGAGTACCCCCATAACTTCGAGAATTCACTAAAAGTTTCTTCAATCGACTGCTACATAGGACATAGTCAATTTGAGATTAGTAGGGCAAAGTGCGATGTGAGTTTTTAGGAGCTGAGTAGTCTTTCATAAAACCAATTCTTGTTGTTATATGACGGACAGGGTGCTGGAAGCTAGTGTTGCAAGCAAAAAGTTTTTTATCAACAAGAAAATTAAGAAGATGCTCTCCATTTGAATTCCTCTTTCCAGACCCATACATACCCATAAAGTCATTATACCCGAAAACAATATCTGAATGAGACAATTTACCGAGTCGAGAGTTGAAATCTCCAAGAATATATAAGTCCCAACTTGATGGGATATCAACAGCTTTGCCAAGAAACTTGTAGAAATAATCACGTCTCTGCGGATACTTATCACAATTTACTTGAGTGTGTCCATAGGCATTGATAACACGGCAAAGTCTTGGTTTACCTGATTTACTTGGTATCTCAAGATCTAGATAAGCAACCCTGTCACTGATACTGTTGTAACACTTGATGTAGTTGGTATAGACTGAATTTACAAGAAAACCAATACCTGCTTGCCACTTATTGTCAAATTACTGAAAGTTTATGAAGCGATATTTGTGTGATTTCCCATCATCATCTGTAAAATGCAAAACTGAATCCTCAAAGTGACGACATTTTGTTTCTTGCACAGCGAGAATGTCTATTTTACGATAAAAGCAATCTCTCAAAAGTTCATCCCGTTTAACTGGAGAAGTAATACCCAGGACATTAAAAGTAGCTAGAGTGAAGATTAGTGCTGTGCTTCTTCTTTTGCGTTCTGATGTAGATAATCTACTCTGTACGTTGCCGCCAGAGCATCTGCCGAAATCACTCGAACAGGCCATCCTGTTACTTAATTATGTTATTTAATTATGTTAACTTATTATGTTGACTAATTATGTTATTTAATTACGTTAACTAATTACGTTACTTAATTATGTTAACTAATTATGTTACTTAATTATGAGTATTGCTGAAAGCACAGTGTAAGGCCTACACGGACCGCCTCTAACTAGCCAATCCCTGTTTACATGCCGTGTAGCAGGGGACTAGAAAGAGCTAAACTAGTAAGCGGGGCATAGCCAATACACTGTACTTCCATCATTGAGTATATTATGTTATTTAGTTATGTTAACTAATTATTTTGATTAATCATGTTAACTAAATATGTTATTTAATTATGTTAATTAATTATGATTTCAGCCAGAAAAGTTGCCCAATATAAACAGTGGTTTCCATGGTTTCGTGGCCGGGCCCCAGTCACAAGGCTCTGTTCACCAGTTAAACATTGAAGACGTTGATATCCAGGTTTGATGCAATTAATATATAAAGTTATGTTGCTATGGTAACATTGCCATATAAGGTAGTGTTGCTATGGTAACATTGCCATATAAGGTAGTGTTGCTATGGTTACATTGCCATATAAGGTAGTGTTGCTATGGTTACATTGCCATATAAGCCATAAGGTAGCGTTGCTATGGTTACATTCATTACATTGTCATATAAGGTAGTGTTGCTATGGTAACATTGCCATATAAGGTAGTGTCGCTATGGTTACATTTCCAAATAAGGTAGTGTTGCTATGGTAACATTGCCATATAAAGTAGTGTTGCTATGGTAACATTGCCATATAAGGTATTTGTAATACTCGATGGTATGATTAAATTTCAATATTTTCTCTAATTTTTTGAAGCTGAAGTTGCGTTTTTTAATCCTTATCCGAGTTTCTTAATTCTGAGATTACATGTTTTGAAGCTTCCTGTATCTTCAAAAGTTAAGTTGTATTTACCATGCTACTTCTCAGTTCTCAGTAGTTGTATTTAATAATTATTAATAAATATTTCTCAGTTTGAGGTGTCAGATAAAAGGGGTGCTCTGCCTGAAATAAGAGACGGCGGAATACTCGCAAACAGCAACCACCAGGTAAATCTGCCTATCACGCGATGTGTCCTTATAAGGGCATCTTATCACGTGGTATGTCGCAATTATCGACAAAATTAATATTCTCTCGGACTTGGTTTTAGACTGAACTGATTTGTTGCCACAATTAGTGTAAAGAATTACCTGATCAAAACTGGAAATTGACCCTTAGAGGTCAAGAAGTTTTTTTTAAAAAAAATCTTAGATAAGCTCAAATTTCACGCCAAATTTAAACGCCCCCCGCCCCCCCCCCCCCTGTACATTAAACCCCGCCCCCCCCCCCCCCCATGTACATTAAACCCCGCCCCCCCCCCCTGTACATTATACCTATAATAATTAGTCTTACTGTCAGACAAGTGATTCAAGAAAACAAAGCCGGCAGAAAACATTTTTGACGGTAAATTAAGATTTCGTGAGAAAATGTAAAATGTTCACCTCTGCAGGAGAGCACTGCATTTTAAAAGCATTGTTTGAGCTTTAATATAATCTTCTGCTTAATTCTACATATTATTAGAACTTTAAAAGCATCGTTGCATTCTTCTACATATTCAATCTTTATATTAAAAGTGTAAAATTAAGAACTACATAACTCCCGTGGTTATCTAGCATCCAGCATTTTAAAACTCGGCATCATGTCATAACTTATTTGTAGCGACATTTTATCGACAGCAGCATTTATTATATTTTTAGTTTCTGCTTCTTATTCATATCCTACAACTTAATTTTAAAGTTATTTCTCTATTTTCAGTGCGTTGACGAAGATGAGGAGATTGGTGTAAGTACATTTTGATTGATTGGGAACCAGCTTTGTTTACTGGTTAATGTTTACTCAAGAATTTATACATACAATAATATATACAATAATTATATACCTAAATCCGCTAATAAGATTTCATTAATTATTGAATACAGGCGCTGCTTAGATAAATGCAATGCCTAGCAACCAACTCTTGCACTAAAAATAAGCTTTAAAACAGTCTGAAGACTATCCAGTCCTGTATAGAAAGTTATAAGCCTAGTAGGCACCCGCTTAGCACTAACTAATACTTCACTCACACTGAAAAACAAGCATTATCACACATGTACTGATAAGTACACTCAATTGCGACTACAGCTGAATATCTGTCCCTCCTTAATGTAAAACTTTTTGTCCGGCTCCGCTAAAGCTTTAGCTCTCATGCTGGCAATCAGCTCCTTTCGGGCTTCCCGCTGCTCCAGTGATCTGTCAGGGCTCAAAAACACAGTCTTAAACTTGGCTGATTGTCGCAATTTCCGAGCGTTTGCTAAGATTTGATGTACGATCAAGGAGCTGGTCAGGCAGACTTTCACTGGGCGAGTACAGGTAGAAGTTTTCTTCTTGCCGAGTCGCTCTACTTCCACCTTCGGTTTCTGCCCTATTTCCTCTAAAACCTCGCCGATTCTCCCCTCTAACTCTTCCTGCTCCTCCTCCGGCAAACCGAAAACAAGAAGATTTCGACTACGGTCCTCTTCTGCGACTACGGTCTTCACAACATTTTTTAGGGCTTCTGGGCAGATAACTGGGGCAGTTACCGTCTGTGAATTGCTGACAATTGCGCTGTAAGTCTTAATCTCCTCTTTAACTGAATCAGCGACTGAGGTTTCCACGATTTTCTTCATAGATTCCAGTTTCTCGAACTTACACTGAGAGAGCTCCTGCTGAACGCTGATGAGAGTTTCCTGGTTCTGAATCAACTTTGCCTGAAGAGTTGTGCAGCAATTTCGGTACGATTCCACAGTTTCCATTAAATAGCCGATGTACTCATAAGACCGACTACAAATGCCAACAAGTTCTGGCTTATTCACTGATTTCGCAAACTTCGGATCTGCTATGTCCGTCATTTTTCCGTACGGTTTGCCAAAGTTCCGCAACTGCTCTTTGCTCCAAGAATAAATCTCATCCCACCTGTAGTTAATACTTTCCAAGTCCATCTTTTCCATGATTACAGTTAAAGTTACACAACAAGACGAGCGACAGGCTGAGCGGTGTCGTGAGTAGAGATAAGCTCTGCGATAAGAGAGCAACAAATCAGCAGCAAATGTGAATGTGCTATTACTGAACTGAATTCAAATTCTTTTATTTTATTTATTTCAATTCTTTAATTGATCACTTGGTTTATGATTATTATATAACATTATGATATGATGTATATTACATATTATTATTATGTAACACATTTATCTTAAATACGAATCTACAAAACAAAATTATTTTTCCACAAATTAATATATCACATAAAAATATCAAATTACCCACGATAATTTCTATTTAATGAAATATACTCGCCACAATGTTACAACCCATGTTCAATAAAACAGCGGCAAAATGTGGTATTATCCCGTTCACTTAAATGGGTAGCTGACAAATTCGACCATTGGTTTAGAATGTGAGCTATGAAGGGGTTCAAACGCACTTTCACTTCCACTTTCACTTTCACTTTCACTAGTACCTCCTAGACCATATTCTGATTTACACGATGGTCACGTCCTCTCGGAGGCTTTTTGGAGGTTGCACAGCTACAGACGTTTCATACTGAATAGTGGCGGCTCTTCTAACAAAATCAGGATAACCTTGTTGAATATTGTCAGCACGATACCTTCTAAAATCAGGGTAACCACTGCTGGATCTGGTCAAGGTTATCATAGATTGAGACTTTATGTTAGTTGGATGGTAAAGTGAAGTTTCGTGTGGGACTAACTCTTCGCTACTGCGTCCAGTGAGCTGGCTGCAATATACTGGGGACAATAGTGTAGGGTTGTGTAGAGAGGTTTCATACTGTATAGTGGCGTGTGTGCTTCTGCTGGGGCGGCTGTTCATACCTGTACAAGGGAACAGTCCGAAAAACAGAAAAAAGCAGAAAAACAATTTATAGTCTTCAAATTTATTTGAGATTACTTGATGGTTACTATGTTACTACCTGGTTACTAGGTTACTACCTGGTTACTATGTTACTACCTGGTTACTATGTTACTACCTGATTACAAGGTTACTACCTGGTTACTATGTTACTACCTGGTTACTATGTTACTACCTGGTTACTAGGTTACTACCTGGTTACTATGTTACTACCTGGTTACTATGTTGCTACCTGGTTAGTGATTACTAGGTTACTACCTGGTTACTACCTGGTTACTAGGTTACTACCTGGTTACTACCTGGTTACTAGGTTACTACCTGGTTACTAGGTTACTAGAGATTACCTGATGTATACAGGTTTACCATAGACTTTGCGTGTACTCCTACTGGACCACCTGGTTTCCAATGTGAATTGTCCAATGTTGTTTCGTACTGCATTGTAGCGGCTCTGTTCTCTTTCACATCTCCTGTGGGAGTGAGGGTTTCTTGTGCGATCTGAGAGATTTGGTATTCCCTTTAAACTAATAGGTTAAAACATATTTCTAAAAAAGTACCTGTAGTATGGTAGGGATTGTGTGTACTTTGTAAAGAAGTCTCTACTAAATCTCCAGTGGATTTGTTCTGGGATAGCTTCACTGGTGTGTCAAACGAAGTCTCATGCTCCATAGCAACCATGCCCCTAGCAACCAGGTCACCTCTGTAAGGAATGTGTTTTAAACTGTGAGCTTGTCTTAGATATGGAGCTGAGTGTTGTGCTGTGTCACCATGGTAACCTGCTGTGTCACCATGGTAACCTGCTGTGTTACCATGGTAACCTGCTGTGTCACCATGGTAACCTGCTGTGTCACCATGGTAACCTGCTGTGTCACCATGGTAACCTGCTGTGTCACCATGGTAACCTGCTGTGTCACCATGGTAACCTGCTGTGTCACCATGGTAACCTGCTGTGTCACCATGGTAACCTGCTGTGTCACCATGGTAACCTGCTGTGTCACCATGGTAACCTGCTGTGTCACCATGGTAACCTGCTGTGTCACCATGGTAACCTGCTGTGTCACCATGGTAACCTGCTGTGTCACCATGGTAACCTGCTGTGTTACCATGGTAACCTGCTGTGTCACCATGGTAACCTGCTGTGTCACCATGGTAACCTGCTGTGTTACCATGGTAACCTACAGGTACTGGTACCAGGCTCCTCCTGGGAGCCTTGTGTTGGGATTGGGTTAAATCAAACAACTTAAAACAGAATACTTAGGGAATACTAGAGGCAGTTCAATAACAAAATCTACATTAATTGCTGAATGTTAGATCTGTTGTAACCTGTTTGTGTGGACGAGTTGTGTTTCTTTTGTAAAAACAGGAGAATTGCGACTATCCAGGCTTGTCTCTCTCTCAATTAAACAAGGAGTAGTTTTATTTCCAAGTTTATAACTACCCCCTCTCTGTACAGCAAGGTGGTTAATGGTAACCTGCTGTGTAACCTGCTGTGTAACCTGCTGTGTAACCTGCTGTGTAACCTGCTGTGTAACCTGAAGTGTAACCTGCTGTGTAACCATGGAAACGGCTGAGGAGCACCTTCTTATTGGTACAGTCTTTAACCCTCTGGAGTTATCTAGTGTTGTCTCACGCTCCATCCTCCTGCTTACCACACTATCTGATACTCTCCTAGCTCCGTCACCATAGTAACCAAGCTGTCTCTCTCCGAACTGAGGACTAGGGAACCCTCTGGAGTTATCTAGTGTTGTCTCACGCTCCATCCTCCTGCTTACCACACTATCTGATACTCTCCTAGCTCCGTCACCATAGTAACCAAGCTGTCTCTCTCCGAACTGAGGACTAGGGAACCCTCTGGAGTTATCTAGTGTTGTCTCACGCTCCATCCTCCTGCTTACCACACTATCTGATACTCTCCTAGCTCCGTCACCATAGTAACCAAGCTGTCTCTCTCCGAACTGAGGACTAGGGAACCCTCTGGAGTTATCTAGTGTTGTCTCACGCTCCATCCTCCTGCTTACCACACTATCTGATACTCTCCTAGCTCCGTCACCATAGTAACCAAGCTGTCTCTCTCCGAACTGAGGACTAGGGAACCCTCTGGAGTTATCTAGTGTTGTCTCACGCTCCATCCTCCTGCTTACCACACTATCTGATACTCTCCTAGCTCCGTCACCATAGTAACCAAGCTGTCTCTCTCCGAACTGAGGACTAGGGAACCCTCTGGAGTTATCTAGTGTTGTCTCACGCTCCATCCTCCTGCTTACCACACTATCTGATACTCTCCTAGCTCCGTCACCATAGTAACCAAGCTGTCTCTCTCCGAACTGAGGACTAGGGAACCCTCTGGAGTTATCTAGTGTTGTCTCACGCTCCATCCTCCTGCTTACCACACTATCTGATACTCTCCTAGCTCCGTCACCATAGTAACCAAGCTGTCTCTCTCCGAACTGAGGACTAGGGAAGCCAGCATATAGAGGAGCACTGAATTGTAACCCAGCTGAGAGCACTGAGTCTGTGTTACCTGAACTACTTGTAATACTGAACTCCTGCGGGGCTAATGTTTCTCTCACTTGAGATCCTCCTGAGATGGAATCCAGACTGCTCTGAGACCACTTGTGCTCCTCAAGGTCACGTGTCAAACTATAAAGATCTCCTACACTGGTAGATGATCCTCTGATATGCCCCTCTATACTAGTTTCATGCTCCGTTAGTAATCCCTCCCTGTGTCCGGGAGGTGTAGTTTTGTAGGGGCGTTGGTTGGAAGCAGGAGGTTCGTCCTGAACTATCTCTTTTCCATCAAATGAGTTTTTGGACACTGATTTTTTCACTGTTTTTACGGTTTTCATCACCTTGTCAAGCAGTGACAATTTAATCTTTTTCGGTTTCTTAGGCCTCTTGTACTT